TAGTTAAATTATTGCAAACTTTGGATTCATCATCTTTATATTGCATATATACCAATTCTGGTATAATTATTTGCATATATGCCTATATATTAGTTACCTAACAAAAAGTAGTTGGTGCCCGTAATTCACGCAGATCATCCATTCTTAAGAGAGAGAAAACATAATATACACTAATATTATATGTTAAGAATATGTATTATCAATTAAGAGCATCTCCAATGCTCAATGTTGTAAATTACATTCCACATCAACACATTTATTAATATCACAATTCATCCTTCAATGTACAATGTGATGACAAATGTTGCGGTGATGTGGTCATAATTATTGTCTACAATGTAGAGAAGAATGTAGTTCATCCACATTCTACTCCACACTCTAGTTAGCCAATCAGGAGAAGTGAGAGAATTATTATTACATTTTCAAACTATTTAATTAATTTTACTAATTTTCAATCAGGAGAAGTGAGAGAATTAATTGCTATTTAAACCTTTACCTTTTCGCGTTTGACAATTTAATCCAAACTTTTGGATAATTCCAATATAATCCTGACTTTGACTTACTTTGCAAAAAGAACTTAATTTTTGTCTGAGAATCAAGAAATGCCAGCGTGTCCGGCTGCTTATATCCACGTTAATCTAGGGTACATTTTCAAAAATTTTAATTGAGGTGGATTTTTTAATTTTTTTATAACTTATTAATTTTACATATGAGCCATGTCATCGCCACATAAGTTTTTAGTCACAAAAGTTCGCCACTCAGTAAACTGAAAATCCAACGTGCATATAAGCAGCAGAACACGTTGGCATTTTTCGAATCTCCGACGAAGATTAAGTTCGTTTTGCAAAAGTAAGTCAAAGTTAGGATTATATTGCAATTACCCAAATGTTTAGATTAAATTGCCAAACTCAAAAAAGTAAATGTTTAAATAGCAATTAACCCTAAAGTTTATTATTTGGCAAGTAGATAATATTGTAATTAGGCAACATTGTGCATTGGAGATGATTTTTTAATTTAATAATTGTGAACTCAACATTTGTCCTACATGGTTCACAATCTATTTAATTTTTTGACATTTGTCAAAAAATTTTCCATAACAACATCAAAGCATTGGAGATGCTCTAATGTCTAACAAATTGATAGAAAAAATAGAAAAAGCTTAAATTTGAATTCTAAACATCATTATCTTTCAAATAAATACACCAAAACAAAAATTGAGAGCAACATTATTTCTGCCATGATAAAAAAAATAGTTCTGTAAAATATTAAATCAAAAAACATGTGTATATTTTTCTATAAAATATATAAACAAATATTCGTTTACGCACAAAGTTTGTTGAAGTTCGTTCTTCTTCGAAAGTACTTCGTTTTCAATATTTATTTCGAAAACAAATTGCAACTCGTTATATAGTCAATAACAAATAACCAGTTACTCTTTCTCCCTCGACGATTTCTTTCTTCCCTTTCTCCCTCTCGCAGCACCCTTCGCGTTTTCCGATTTGACCTCTTCCGGTGGCGGCAAGGCCGGATCTACGGCCGCCGCTGGCCGCCCTCCTTTCCTGGCGTTGTTTTTACTCGGTTTCGCAGCCTCGGCTTCTTCTTTCGTCTCTCCCGTTCGTTGGTAGGTGGGGGACCGGCGGCGATTCCCGGTCGTAATCTGGGCTAGTCGGTGCAGCTCGTTGCGGTTGGGAGCCCATTTATTGTTCTCCACCTTGGTCTGGCTTGATTGGTGGGCTCGGTGCTCGGTGAGTTTTGGGGGTTAGGGTTCGATTGGGGCTTTGCGGTTTCTCCGACAGGGTCGACTGTCGG